CTTCTTACAGACATGGACGTGTATAAGGATATAAAACAAATGAACCTTAGCGTGACTTGTGAATGGCTAACAATGTTTTCTTTTTGTATATATGTATATTGTAGAATCTGTATAATTATTATTGTACGTGCGTGTACAGAACTATGGGTATTTATATTATAAGTATATATTTAATATCTAGAGTATACCACAATATGCGCGTGCATTCGTTTAGAACCACGTTTATTAGTACTTAATGGGATGTTGAAATTGGATTAGGATTATGGATTAGCAGGTACTTGGATTATTTTGATCAAATCCTTGATGTAATGAGAATACATCTGAATGTCTTATGTGATTTGGGTGCGTTACGTTGTTAAAAGCGTGACGTTGTCACAAGTGTGACGCAGTCATTAGCGTGACGCTGTAACCGGCGTGACGCTGTGAGAAAGGTGTGATGATGTGATCAAAGTGCTGAGACGTTGAATGTGATCTTAGATTCTTTATTTTGGAACCTAGAAGTAGCTAGTAGTGTCTGGAATATAAATTTCTAACAAGCGACTTTGGAATTGCCAATGTTTGTTGGTAGTTTAAAATCGCTGGCTGGGTTCGATACCCATCTCTACCTCTTGTTCTACCACATGGAATATTTTCATTTTAATCTGAACCTGTGTTCATTCACCACGGTTCGAAAATTCACGTTAAAAATCGCAGTTGTTACCAATTTTACTACATATTACTGTAGTCCGAATCACCGACATAGCTGAAGATCACAAGGTTGAAGTTATTCTACAAACTGGACAAAATACTTGATGAGACTAAGATGATAATATTTAAGAAATACAGTTATCTTATTATTTGTCACAACTGTTTATAATTGATTTTAGTTTTTAAACATTATATTGAGAAACTAGCTGTAACTGTCAATAATCATTTCATTACACTTGTATAGAACTTTCATATATTAGAATTTAAACCATAAAATCTGAAATTAGAAAACTCGACAAAGCAATCACCTAGAACCTAAGCTATGTCAGTGATACAGACTATATATTGTAAATACAGAACTATGATTGATAAAACGATTCCACAGTTTGGAATAATAATAATAATAATAATTGTATAAACTGCCCTGTAACGGGAAAGATCTACTGATATTTAAATTTAGTTACAATATCAAACATCGTCATATCATAGTGTCCTTTCTTTTTAAAATTAGGTGAGACGACTTCTGACTCGTCTTTATCCTTTGCTAGAGAACCAGACAAAATGTGTATTTAAGGATGAGATATTTCAGGAGTTGTCGCCTCACAGTTCTTATCTTCTCGTGTTTTATAGAATGTTGTATCACCCATCAATCATATGACGTCATCACCGTGTATTGTACTATATACTGCCCATTGTATATGAGATTATTATAACCACCATCTTCGTCATCATCATCGTCATCTTCGTCAAGACAAAATACCATTCGGCAATTCTCGGTAGTTTCCGTAAGCTGAATCGTAACTTTCACGGTAGACGATTTGTTAGATTAAAATACTAAGTTATTCCAAAGACGTAAAATTTCATATTTAAAAATAGATTTCACCAAAAAAACTAGTAAACGATCTGTTAAAAGAATATCGAGTTGATAAACCAAGTCGCAGAGTCGTGTCAGTCGTTGATATGATACGATTTCTTCAGTAGAAAATGCTAGAAAACATTCTGCTTCTTGAGCAAGTACGACTTTTTTCTAGTGGCCTGTAAACGTTAGTTAATCCCGAAACCTAGGCTACCGATTTTTAGGCCTACATGTTCATCAGAAATATATTTCGGAATTTCTTACCAACTGCAGATGAAATCATGTGTCATCAAATCAAATCATTGAATCAGAAAGAATGATATTATAACTACTTCATTTGAAATCATCTCCAGTTTTCAATCATACATCTTTTTGTTTAGTGGACACAGGTCATCTTTCTAATTTATAATTATCTTCCTTTTTAAACAGTTTATATGAAAGTTTAAACATTGGCCAAGTACTTAATATATTCTTAAGGTTCAGGTGTTTCTTGCTATATTTTACCAATTTGTTGTACTTCATAGAAACATATTGATGTCATATTTTTGGGTTCTTTCAAAATCATCTGATACATTTTACACGTTGGTACATTGTATAACTCTATTAATGCCATGGAAATAGTTCGTTTAGGATGCCATTTTACATGTTAGTAGGCTACATTGTGTCACTTTACTAATGATGATTTATAATATGATCACGATTGATCTGTTGTGATAGTCCTTCTTGATATATCAAACTCAATCATACACTAGACAGAACTCATTCCAGGCTGTCCAGTGTTTTAGTAGTTAACTAGATTGTGGACGTGACGTGGGTAGAGTCAATGTTTCAAGATTATGATATACACCGGGCACCTGTTATTTTACCACGGTTAAAATCTTGACCTCGAGATAGGACAGATTGACCTCAGGTCATCTCAATATACAATTCGATTAGCAGGAATTGATCAGGTCATTATGAAATGGAGTTTTACGTCCAATTTTTCTGTGTCTAAGTGGTCTAATGAACACTGCAACTACTTGTACACTTACCCATGTACTGTGGCCAGTGCCTATCTTTTTCGAATTCATCTAAGAATCAGCACAGCCTGTATTTCAAAGGGCATTAATCTATCGTCTCCCTAACGACTAGACGCTTTCGAACCCGACAAACCCTGAACACTTGTGACTAAGATACCTGAACAATAATTATGAGTCTACCTACCTATAGAACAAATATAACTACAATATAAGTCAAAACTATTTAACGTTTTTCAGTCAAAAAAAAACTAAATTCTTGACGGAAAGTGATAAAGTCTCAGATAGAATATAAAAATCATTGAAGACTAAAACTTGTCAAAGTTAATAAAACTTTCAATAAAACAAGAAGGCATAATAAATAAATAATAAAAAATAAGGAATGTACCATCGCATAATAATCGCAACTATTATTGTTTTTTTTACCTCAAAAAATTTACTTACCTACTACTTTAAAAATGTGAAAATTGAAGTTTAAAATAGAGCCTGAAGCGATGTACCAAGCTGACAGCAAGTTGGGGTATAATAAATAGAAATTGTAAGTGACTGTTTTTCTTTCCTCAAACTTACAACCTAAAAACCAGATACTTTACATTTTTATCTTTTTTTTTCTAAAAACATTGAAATTTACATCTTATTTCTCTGTTAAATATTTAATTCAGTTTACTTTTTTTACCTGGGATCTTTTTCATAAAAACTTCAAGTAGATAAGAGAGAAATATTACTAAATACCTTTATAAAGATCCTACCATATTAAGAAGAATGAATATTTATTAAAACAATTCTTAAAGGACATGTTTGGTTTAAAATTATTCATTAAATTAGATTAAAGTAGGAACATACCTTTCTGATTTTTAGTTATATCATCTTATGTAACCAATTTATCATCAGTGAAACACTTCCTTTATGAATTTCAACGTCATCATTTCATATAATCCGAAAACCTCTGTCTGTATTGATCGATGACCGAGTTTTTCGGATTAAGAATCATGTTATTTTGTATTATTGTAAGCACATAGTGCGAGTAGCCATTTCAATAAAATAATAATAATAATAATAATAATAAACATTATAAAAATATAACTGTTGTTTGTCGTTTATTTTTGTGTTTTGTCAGGAACGTGGTACATTGAATGAGGTATGAGTGAATTCTGTTAATTCTAAAAGGGAGAATGTTTTTGGCATTGCGCTGGGCCCAAGGGGGGTTCTTGCAATCTAACTTTCTATTGACTGTGTTACCCAGTCGTCTATGTTAATGAGAGGTGAAATATGCGACCGACATCAGAAAGAAACCAAAATCTCTGTGAAATTGAAATGATATTAAAGAGACCGAAACAAAGCGAATAGAAACAACCCATATACCACCTAGTCTTGATTTATATATATTAAATAGTTCAAAACCAATGATCTGGACGAGATATCCGAGGGCCAGATGGGATATGTTCCGGACCCCCACTGGTCCAACTGAATCTAAAACACAAACACTAATCCCCTACCCAGCTGCTTCATTCACTCAAATCATTTGAGACTAATATGACATCGTTTGGACCCCGCCCTAGAGTTTTGTACTGGACATGCTATCTCGCCCCACCTGTCGTGATCTATTGAAGTCCAGCACCGGACAAAGGGCAGCCCTCAATGATCATCATAAATCCTACTTCAGAATAATGAGTTGAAACTAGCTTTATTAGATTGTAAATATTAATAATATCTTTATAATGGAGGCTCTAATAAGTTTGGTTTCACACTGGACACGTGGCCAGATCACGGACATCATAAAAGATAACACATTGGCGAAAGGAAACTTGAGCAAAAATGTTAGAATTCAAAACTGCAATGTTACCAAGCAATCTGCTAGCTAGTTAAGACACGATAGTTTGGTATACTCTAGTCCCATTCTGACTACAGAAAACTGTCATTATACCAAACAATCTACTAGCTAGTTAGACACGATAGTTTGGTATGTTCTAGTCTCAATCTGACTACTGAAAACTGTCATTATACCAAACAATCTACCAGCTAGTTATACACGATAGTTTGGTATACTCTAGTCTCATTCTGACTACAGAAAACTGTCATTATACCAAACAATCTACCAGCTAGTTAGACATAATAGTGTGGTATGTTCTAGTCTCATTCTGACTACAGAAAACTGTCATTGTACCAAAAATCTACTAGCTAGTTAGACATAATAGTTTGGTATGTTATGATCCTATTACTGTCGTTTGATCAATGAATGAACAAATCTTTTTTTGAAAAATAACAATATTTATTGCAGGCCAAAAATAGCCGAAAATACAGACGTAGTGCAAAATATAATATTGCTTAATAAATATTCCAAAATATACTTCGAATAATCTGAAAGACATGTTCACAATGTGTCCAAAATTAATACTAGGGTCCAAATGCAAAATCCAAAATTCCAAAATCCGTCCAGGGTCTTAATAATCTTGAAATGTGTAGAAAATTCTGCCATATCTTGTAGGAACGAATAACATCGGCTTGGCATCATTGTTATACACCAGTTTCTCTTCGAGTAGAGTGGGCAAGTTCCTGGAGTAAACTTTTTTACCAAACTTCCTTCTTACTCTCATGTGTTTCTTTAAATTCATCTCCCAGTAGAGACTGTTCCCGTTCCTTACAGGATAGTCAACCCCTGGTAGTAAGGCCCATCTGGGTACATCAAGGGGCAGCTGCTCAAATGGTTCCTTCGACCAATCTTTTATCTCCACACAGGGAGCTAAAAAATCCTCGTCGTTTTCTAGGACTTCGGAGAACTTCTCATTGTTGGTTTCCAAAGTTTCCTCTTCCTGTGTGTCGAAGTCTATTCCAGGTAGTTTCATCCAGTCAGGGCTGTTGGTGAGGGGTGTCTGTGTCCATGGATCCTCAGCCCAAACTAGGTCTTCAGCAACATCCTTGCTTTCCTCGACTTTAGGACCTGAAAAACATAAATAGACATAACTCTTTAAAATTGCTATCGTTTCTATTAATTTTGTTTGGATTCAACATAACAACATCGTAGCATTTTGATCTTTCGATGTCGACTCTTCCCATCATTGCGAAGCAGAATTCGCCAAGCGTTGGATAAAGGGTTTGGGTTAATATAATCCCCCTTCCCCTTTCAGTTTCCCCTTCACCCTCCCCTCCACCTTCACCTTTCCAACAGTAAACGGGGATTAAACCGCCAACCAAATTTATCTGTTTTGTGTAGTATTTCCAAATATAAAATTGCAAAAATTTTTATCATAAATTCTTTTGAGAAACGGGACAAGTCGTAAATTAACTACAGCGTAACTTTACCTTCGACTTGTGCCCAGTCCTGAATGTCGACATCGTCATCGACCAGTTCACCCAAATCATCGACTTGGTTGTTATTATTCTCGTCTATTGGGTTCTTATTGTTTTGGTTCCAGTCACCTGAAATTGTAAATTAGTTTTAATCTCGATTGTTGTGGACAATGGTCTTATGAATTAAAAGGTGGAGTGCATGCAACTTTCATAAAAAAAATTTCTGCTAGTGTTTAACTCTTCTTTTAGACAGTTTAGATTACATGAATTTCTATTGTGACTGTTCGTAGACTATAAAAGGATTAGGACTTAGTTTTTACTTTCAATTTACAATTTTCTTTTACTGAAATAAAAACTCACCGTCAAGGGTAGATGTTAGATCTCCATGTTGGATCTTAGATAGATAATCCAAAATAATATCATCCACCGAGCGACTTATAACTGGTAATCTGAAATATACAAAAAGGCAAAAAATAAGATTTTGTATTCTAACTCTGGCTTCGATTGCGAAATCAAATGGTGTTTCAAATTCTACTTTCTACATTTAAACCACGAAAAGATGTGAACTCTCTACTTACAAGATAGTCATATTTTTCGTTTCCTGTAGAAAAATTTCCACTAAAATTTCCAAGAGCGAAGTTAAAATACGTCTTTCGTCTTGAAAAATCCAAAAGCTAATGACTTTTAGACCAATTTAACGTTATGTTCATTATGACGTCATAATAGATATACGGGAGCAGAAAACAATGGAGTTCCCTCAGAAACAAGCCCCACCCCTCATCTTTACTTTTTTCACCAATTTAACATTTTAAACAATAAATAAACCAATTTGTGTCTATTTTGACTCTCTGAAAGGAATGCTGAGTTGATAATTCTGGTCTGAATGTAGCCTACCGTAATGTAGCTCTGCAGGCAAAACTCGTCATGCACAGTATAGCTTATTGAAGATATTACAACTCAAATTCAAGAAGGTTTTTGGACTGTGATTCTAGAGGCCAAGGTCACTAGTTTGATGAATGATCTTTATTGAAATTGTAGCAGATTTGAAGACCAATCGAGAAAGTTTTTGCAAGTTAATTAGCTAGCTTTTAGACATTTTAATGCTGGCTTTATTATATTTTATTTTAAGTTAATGTTAGCTTTATCCGTATCACTTCACAGAAAAATAATGCGACACTAGCTTCGTCTACAATTCAACAATTGCAATAACCCCACTAAATTTTTCTGAACATTGTTGATTTTCAGATTCCGGCTTTTCCGTAGGATCAAGTCAAAAATGAAAATATAAAATGGAAATTAAGCAGATTGGTTGAAGAGAATAGTTTAAAGACTCGACTACTTCAAGTCCCTGGTTGTAGAATAAACAATACTTACAAAATTGTCATCTTTTCTGTCCCCAAATCTTCAAAAAAAAACAACAAAATCGAAGTGTTTTTTCTCTGTAAATTGTAGCGTGACTTTTCAGTGAAAAACCGGAAAAATGGTCTAATGACGTTATTTAGTTCGTTACGTCATAATCAAATTTCGTACCTTTAGGCAGGCCTAAGTCGACTGCAGAAAACTTCCATCTTATGCCAAAGATCTTTCGATGACCCTTTCTTTCAGAGAGATATTGGTAAAACCGGATTATCAGTCGTCCGACCCGTGAAAGGTGGACTGAAAATTGTTCATGTAGAGTTTTGGCCACGTATTCTCGAAACGGTCTTAGCATCCTAGAAACTGTTAGAAGCTAAGATCCTTGGTACCCAGGATGTTCCATTTTGTAGACAGACGGGCCCTTACAGAATTTACACATGACCACAAAAGTTGCTTAGTTCAATAACATGCAGAACAAAACGTAACGGAACCTGCTGATTAGTTTGCGACAATGAGTGTGAAAAGGAGTAGGCTAATTTGGCCGTCTTGGCAAAATTTCCTTGCAGCGTTACGACGAGTAGTGAACGTGATTTGTTGTCCATGAAATAAATATTAAGGTATTAAAGTATTGACCTCAATCAATTAATAAAGAAAGCAGATTAAATCCGGGAAATTTTATGATGGTTATAAATAAAACCAAGACTTCAACTTTATCTCTCTCTATTGTTACACGCCATGTTGGTATTAGGGTGGCCATTAAAGGACCTAGTGGAGATATTAGAGACTTAACAAAGGCCTGATGGAGATATTAGGGACTTTAAAATATTAGGGACTTAACAAGGGCCTGGTGTAGATATATATATATATATTTACTCTGAATGACATTGGCCACGCTCGCAGGCGCTTTTTAAATTAGGGGCTTGCATGAAGGAAAGAAATGATCGAAACCCCATATTTATAGACTTATAACTTTCACGAGGATCCGTTCTATCAGATGCTTCTTAACTAAACCTCTTGGTATCGATCTTTCCTTGATTATCCGTTCCCATTTACGACTGGGTGGACTAAAATACCAGCTGATTCAGGGTCGTAAATTATATAAAGGCGGAAGAACTTGTTTTCAAAATAAAAACTCAAAAATCTTCTCTATAACCTCAACTAATTTACAGCTCTGAATCTGGGCGTCGTCCTATTATTCGATGATGTAAAAAGGATATCCGGCACCGGTTTGAGATTATTCAGGACGATCCCGACTAATTATTCAAGCTAATTAACACATTGGACATTTTTAGGGTCAAGAGGCATCATAAATCTTGAACTCTGTTTCGAATAATTCACGATCTAATACTGACATTTTCTATTGAACTGCAGTAAAACAGGTTACCAATGACTCGCCTCATTAGTCCATTAAGTGCAAAAAGTATAACGTAAACCCTAGTTTTCGGACAATGTCATAAATAGTTTGGGTTTAAACAAAGATATTTTTGAATCTCTTCAATTTAAACGTGCGTTTTGATAGAAGGTGTTCTCAGTCTTCAGTAATTTGGGCGTCTTATCCTCATACACTTAGAATAAGGGTACAGATTGTCAAAAACATGGCCGATTTCTGGACTTGAAAAGACCACGAGTGTAGCTTGTGGAGTGTAGCTATGTAAACAAGTAATGGTTTAATAAATAATATTAATTTTAGATGTAAACAAATCGTAAATTATCTCAACTTTAATATACCTTGACTCTATATCTTGTATAGCTTTAGATCTCATACCGACATATACCTACTCGGCGCCACTGGACGGTATTATATTACCCTGTATATACTGGACAGTAACTCACACGACCTTGTATATACTGGACACTATCTCACGCATCCCTGTATATACTGGACAATATCTCACGCATCCCGGTATATACTGGACAATATCTCACGCATCCCTGTATATACTGGACACTATCTCACGCATCCCGGTATATACTGGACCGTATCTCACGCATCCCTGTATATACTGGACAGCACCTCACGCATCCCTGTATATACTGGACGGTGACTCACACGTCCCTGAATATACTGGACAGTATCTCACACATTCATGTATATACTGGACAGTGCCTCATGCATCCCTGTATATACTGGACAGTAACTCACGCGTCCCTGTATATACTAGACAGTAACTGACACGTCCCTGAATATACTGGACAGTACCTCATGCATCCCTGTATATACTGGACAGTAACTCATACAACCCTGTATACACTGGACATCCGTATTGCCCTTTATATACTGGACAGTAACTCACACGCCCCTGTATACACTGGACAATACCATATGGCCCTGTAAATACTGGACAATCGTAACTACCTGTATGTACTGGACTATTGGACACCCTGTTAACACTGAAAGTATTTTTTACAAATGGTATACGTTTCTATTTTGGATGTATTCTAAATCAATGCCAGAGCCAAAAACTTTTTGAGGGTTTGGAAGTCAACTAGAAATCTGCGACCATAATGTCAACCCCAAGTCGAGTATAAAGTGACCCCTAGTTTTACTAGAAAGACAGCTAATTGAAGTGACCACGCTTCCACCGTATTGTTCCCTTTATCGTATATATCAATATAGTCGGCTACATTAAAAAACATACAAATAGAATTTTATAAAGCGGAACGAAGGGTTACAAATCTCAAACGAAACGAAAATAAGAGTTTTTAGAAATGTGAATAAAAGGGGCTAAGGGATAAAAAGATTAAATAAAACGGACTCCTTTCAATAAACAGAGAAGAATAAATGGTTAAAAAGACTTCGTTTCTCTTTCAACTATTCTACTCAAATATTTGAAAAGAAAAGTTTTTTTTAAAAATAAGCGTGGATAGATATTTCTTTCATTATGATAATAATCATCCCACATTCCAGTCTAATAAAAATAAAATGAAAGGAAATTCCGCCTGAAATAGTTTTTGTGATTATTAAATTAATTGTATCTAATTGGATGACTGGTGAGTGGTCATATCGCGACAAACTTCCACAAAACACATTCTGACAGGCCAATTTTAACTTTGAAATCTTGGGACCATTCGACATAATATTATTTAGTTTAACCCCAGTATCTGTGGAAGAACCTAAAAACAAACCTATTTATTCATTCATTCTTCAATTTCTTCACTAAATCTATAAATCTGGTAATTTCACCCCAGTTTCTACGGGGGCCAGGGGGTGCCATGCCCCCACCTCAAGAAAGAGGCTGGCCTGGCTTTGCCCCCCCCCCCCCCCCCCTCCCCCCTATCTCCTCCCCCTCCCCCTATCCCCCTCCCTTTAAATTTTGCATAGTGAAAGAATGGCGAGTGGCCCCCCTGGAAAATTGTGTGGCCCCTGATTGGCACCCTCGCGTTATGCTTTCTAGAAACGCCACTAAAATCTTGTAAATGGTGAGTTGAAGTAATTTCACACCCGTATCAATAAAGTCCGGTTTATTTACCAGGGTGTCATTAAAATACTTCAACTGAACTCAGTCGAGGTTAATCAGATCTGCTCTATGACCAAATATTTAAATACTTTTTACACTAAATTGATTTCTGGTGAACGCTTATTAACCCTTGTGTGTTCATTCTTCTAATTTAACCCTTCATATCCCAAATGACAAAAATATAAAAAAGTTATAAAATTTGGATCTCAAAACAAGATATTATGATCTTTTGAACGACGAGTCATCATCATAGTAAATGGTGTGAATGAAAATATTGAAATTTTATAAAGAAATTATGGCTTATGTTGTGGGTATATACGGTCCTTTTAGCGTTTTATATGATTTAAAAAGCATCTATATACACTATTTCTTCAAACGCTTAGTTTCAGTGGAATTACAAGACTTACAGACGTCTGAGAGAAAATTGGAATGGTGTAAATTGATGTTATCAGTGTCCTAATACTTATAAATATTTTAGCAACTCTTAACGAATCAATGGATAATTGAACCTGTATATAAGTAAACGGGACAAGATTTGACCTCTTTTCTAAATAACCATAACATTTCAGTAAGCAACCTCCAATATACTGGACAATAAAGTTTTTGATGGGAGAAACTCTAGACCGATATCTTGATCAATTTGACGCTGTAAATGGACATGAAAACTCAGACTGAATGGTCAGTCAACACAGGACAAATCACCTAATTAGTTCCCGCCACTTTATCATAAAAGGCAGACGATGTTTACTTTTCCCGCCATAGACAATGTGTGATATATGAGCACTTTATACTACAACTTTTATAAGTGACCGGTGTCCAGTTCTCAATGTTAGTATTATTTACCCAAATTACTTTACCAATAGTCAGCCTTCGTTAAATCTCTACCCCATATTTCTAACAGATTTGAATAAGAGTTTGTTCGATTGGCTACTAAACCGATTTAGATGCTTTCAGCTACTAGAAAATTAGTACCTTTTCCAAGGCTCCTCTCCCTGACAAGGTACAGACTGTATAATGATGTATTCTTAGATTGACTTGTCGAGTGAAATAGTTTAGATTCCCACCACCTCCTTGAAAATGTTGCCATTGCTGCGGTGTTAAGTTAAAATGAGAATTTAACTCATAGAAAGCACGGGCCGTGGTTCGAAGCAAGGACTATTTATTTACAAGCGCTGGTTAGTTTAGTGAGGTGAACATCGTAATATCACCTTAAATGACCGGACGACAATTTAACAGTTTGTGTCTATGTAGACTCTGTACAGGAGTTATTAACTGGTGAACACTAGAACTGACCAGTGGTCAATAGAAGCCAAGTCGAGGGTCAGTGATAATTAATATCTATAGAGTAACACAAGGGTGCTATCAGAGAATATCACAAACTTTATGGGAAAACAAACAAATTGATAGACCAAGATCAACGCCTAAACTTAACTTGTTTTCTCTTCGATTTTTCGTTTATAACTGGTATAAACCATATAACCATCAGACCCGTTTTTTGATGAAGTTTTAATCCTTGTATGAGTATACCTGATTCTGTTCGTTTCCCTGCTAGTAGTAGATATAAACAGAGTAGGGTGAGGAGCTAAAGATTTTGGCCAAGAAAAGAAAGAAAGGCAAGTTAAATATGTTGTTTTCTTGTCTCATACCAAATCATCGTATCAAATATCAGATTATTGGCAGGTCATTGGAACCCCGAGCCTGCGCCTATGAAAGTCGAATGAAATTAATTTTGCAAAAACAGTTGTTAAACAGAAATTATGCAACCAGTCGTATTATCTCTATATTCTAAGGTATTTTTTTCATCATATTGCCCCAAAACTAGCTCAGGGTTATTTTTAGCTGTCGTGATTTCCTGGTTAAGCGGAAGTAAGTTTCCAAGCCTGTGATTGGTCAGTTTGTAATTAATATTCTATTAAGTAATTGTAAGAAACCATAGAGATGAGTATAGAGTGCACTGTTTTTAGGTTCGTGAGACAAACCGTTGATTAGAAAACCACAAAAATTCAGTAAGAATGATCAAAGAGGATATTTTGTACAGTTTTAAAGTGAGATATTTAGTTTATGTACAGGGCAGGTTGATATGTACTTAGATAGTCCGAGATAAGGGTTTAGTTACATTCTAGTCCGATACTTACTTCAATCCGGTGGGATATTTGTGGGTCGGTTCTTACTTCGAACCTTTTGCTTTTAAGGACTATTTATGCACCAGATTGACAATAAAACAAGCTCCATGGATAAGAATGGATTCCAATCCCAATGAGACCCTTATCTCGATGCATCAAAACGGAAAGTAAGAAGTTCATAGGGCAGGTGTTTCAATAGTTAAAAGTAATCTATTTCTCTAATAATAAGACGTCAACCCAAGAGTTCAAGCTACAACTGGTCGGTTCCTCGGATTAACCTCAACATGATTTAAGATGAGATACTGTAAATATTTTTATGAGAGAATTGCGTGAGATTGGGTTAGTTTAGGTGAGTAGTTTTACCCCGAGTTCTACAGGTGATAAAAGGGTTTTAGATTTCTGGTTGAGACCTCACTTAACCTTCTACATACCCCTCCCTCATAGGTAGTGACTTTCCAATCTTACATAGACCTTCTACATACCCCTCCCTCATAGGTAGTGACTTTCCAATCTTACATAGACCTTCTACATACCCCTCCCTCATAGGTGTTTATCTGTTCGCACAAACCTCAAGAAAGTCTCTAGTCCTTGTCTAATCCTGCCGATGCTTCCATAGGACCTAAACGTACGATCTTTATTCGTATTTAGCTTTGTTCTCAATTTCTCTTAAACACCACAGAAAATCTGCAACAGAAGCACAATACTTGCTTCGATAGAAGGGTCAAAGGTTGCCCTAGCCCACAAGAATACCCTCAGCAACCACACCCTTGACTGACACCCAAATCATTTATTACAGAAAGACGTTAGACGTACACAAAAAGTCAATGATAAATAGGAAGGAATCTTTTGATTTCGGTTGGACCGAATTAGATTATCTCGACCCCTAGCTCGACCCCAGCCCGACCCTCAGCTGTAGGGTGTCAGAAGTCATTATTATATATAGTCATAGGTATTTGTTCTGGGTGGTTGGTGGAGAGAGTAGAATAGTAACTAATGGATTAGCTGTAATACCTACAGGATGGTGTCTGGTTTCTACTGGGAGACTATGGTCAGGTATCATCGTGGAAATTCTATCCAAAACACAGGTGTAACAAACACTTCACCAAGTTTTATATTACGATAGGCTATCAGATAGATGCGCGTGTTTAGGTGAAGCTCTGCGGCATTGAAATTGTATACTGAGCCGCGAGTGGTACGAAGTGCATCGTGTGCACCCTTCACATCTTCATTCATTCATTCATTCATTTTCAGTCTCATTCATTCATGCATTCATTCATTCATTTTCAGTCTCATTCATTCATTCATTCATTCATTCATTTACAGGATTGACTTCCGGTTCAGACACTGGTTATCTATAGCTATATCTTCTTTTGATCTTGTTGATAATATAATGACTGAACTATTATAATCATATTAATCAGATAATTTGTTTAAAAACGAAACTTATACCAGGAAAACCACAAACAGACATAAAGGCTTACCCTGTATCAAGTTCCGATCTTATCTTATCGTACGGAAACCATGGGTGTAACACTTCATTCATTTCTATTTCTATATTTATCAGGAAAAAATATCAGTGCGTAACCTAGAATAACGAGACCCTGCATTCTGTCCAATCAAAAAAATCTTAATCCATAAGTTAAGATCTAAAAGCAGGTAAATTTCTATATGTTAGATATGAAACAAGTCGAATAACCATACAGGATAATACGAGATGACAAAATAGCAGATATTACTGAGTCGAATAGTCCACAATACAAGATTCACTCCCTTCAGTTTTAAACTCATTCTAATTCTAGTAAAATTTGACACCGGGATACACCAGGGTGCAGCTATTAGCCCCTCTCTCTTTATATATTCTATCAATGACTCGAGGTCTTGTTACATACCTTGACTAATTTACATTTCCCAACAAAAACCCCTTTCATTCATCTCGACATTATGAATAAAACTGCATAACAAGTCGTACAAAGTAATACAAAGTAATACAAAGAGTATGTGTAAAGTGTTGTACAGTGAAATATATTTGTAAAATCCTCGTCAATATCAAGAATGTTGCTGAATATTAAGGGTTGTTTAATGTCAACTGTTTCATTTTCAGGTTAATGGTGGTATATTGTCTGTTGGTTCATTCAAAGAGTTGTCGGTTTGACGATTGACCTAAGAAGACTTGCCTGTATGAATTCCAAAGCAGTCTTGCGTTTCTCTTTGTATTCTATCAACAAACTACTATGCGTCTTTATTGCATTTTTAATCTGAGCTCTTCTACGGCTTATCTAGAAGCATAAAGCTCATGATTCAAGTCGTAAAGCAAAAGAAAACATGTCATCGTGGAGGAAGGAATAATTCTACTACGACTTATCCAGAAGCTTAAAGCTCATGAGCCCAAGCTGAAAGTTAAAATAAAACATTCTGACAGGTGTCACCAACTCCCTTCTTCGGAATTTGTTAACAGAACATCCTCTCGCAGACTCGATATAGCTAACATATGTATTACTTATTTTGGTTATTGAACCCATTTAGGAATTGGAGGATACGCCTAGTATCCTGGACCAAGTTTATATTCCAAAGCGGTTTGTAATTTATTCCTGATGCTAACTTTCCACTGCAACCTCCATGATTTCTACCCAACGTCTTTAACACAGTTAACATTGGGGTCAACAATGGTCGCCACCCACGGATTTTTCTCTCCACACCTTCCTAATTCTAGTTCTAAAATACCAGACGATAATTTCATCACATCATTTAACTTGTTACATCTTGACAGTTCAAACTGGGATGATTTTATAGACAGACGATCAACATGCTTATATTTGGGGGGTGGGGCTGGTGTCGCCCTAGGGGTGCCGATAGTGTTAAATATCATATAGTTATACAGAGGGATATTGTCGTTTAAAAATATAACTATGTGATAAAAACTATGGTAATAAAAATCGGTAAAAGCAAGACAATTCCGTTAATAAAAATCGGTAAAAGCAAGACAATTCCGTTAATAAAAATCGGTAAAAGCAAGACAATTCCGTTAATAAAAATCGGTAAAAGCAAGACAATTCCGTTAATAAAAATCGGTAAAAGCAAGACCATTCCGTTAATAAAAATCGGTAAAAGCAAGACAATTCCGTTAATAAAAATCGGTAAAAGCAAGACCATTCCGTTAATAAAAATCGGTAAAAGCAAGACAATTCCGTTAATAAAAATCGGTAAAAGCAAGACCATTCCGTTAATAAAAATCGGTAAAAGCAAGACCATTCCGTTAATAAAAATCGGTAAAAGCAAGACCATTCCGTTAATAAAAATCGGTAAAAGCAAGACCATTCCGTTAATAAAAATCTCGTCCAAAGTATGACAAAATCAAGAGTCCTGCAATGAGAAGTACCATCAGGTGTTTTGAAAAGTGTTTCATGGTCTGCTTCGAGCGCGACACCCGTCACTACTGCAATGATCATGGTCTGCTATTTACTATTTAGGTCCGGAACCGCACATTGTGAAGGTTTTGAAGATATTATAGCGGCTAATATCTGTAGCAAGCTATTTTATGTTAGTTTTAAAAGATATTATCTGTGTACGAAGCGAAAGTAACAGATTCTGACTGGTTACTAAAATTATACTCAAATAAAACCAGATAAAAGGTAAGTTAAACAACAAAATCTTCAGACCGTACTAACTTCACAAATTTCTAAATACTTTTAATGGAGAATAAGCTGTTACATCGAACAAAACAAAGAATGTTCTCTTTTCAATAAACCTGCTTGTAGTCTTTGTGTCGATTTTAAAAGGCGAAATATTTTGATAGCTTGTTAGTATTTTTTGAATTAAATTGTCGTTACCACATTTTGAGATTTTTTCAAGAAACAAAATTGTCTTCCAGTCAAATATGTTACAGTCCTAGTTGAATCTAGATAGTAGTCAGATTGGTTTCTTCGTTTTTCCACTACCAAAGCCCCATGAGGCCAGGGGTCTGTCGGAGGCCCCTAGGAGTCAACGGATTTCAGATGAATTTTGAGCCATTTCGATGGCTTAATTTCACTTCAAAATAAGACCTATCACGGGCCCGATGGAGAGACCATGGTCTAAACACGCTACTGCTAGTATTACTTGATGCATGGATTTTTCACAGCTTGTTAAATGTTGACAAACTTCGCTCCGGACAATTTAACCAAATGACCACCATGATATTACCGCTGGTCACGAGAAGGCTATATAAACTGACAAAATATTAAAATCTATCTCACATTATAAACTGAGTATATATTCAGTATTATTAGAAAATGACCACCTACAAACCACCGTGAACGTTGTAATGATGGTCGTAAAATAATTTCAGACCAATTTCACGACAATAAACTTATTATAACTTCAGAATATAATGGTCACCGTTTTCACATTATTTTAGTTTATGACTTCACACTGGACATCGGTCAGTAGTTTCAACCAGACAAGTGTGAACAAACGTAAGAATGTCGAGAATATTAAGTTCAAGTGAACAAATAGGCGACATAAATGGACGTGCAACTTGATACAAAAATGAAATGGAGTTCAAGAACTATCAAATGATTTAACTCATAATGCCTATAGCACATTGTACCCTGGTTTATTGTCTTTTCGGAACAACTAGATGCATGTCAGTCCGACCGACCTGCATCATTGACAGGGGAAAACCTGATTAAACAAATCTGAGAAGGTACCATGTCTGGATTAAACTATGCATCTCTAGGTGCCAACAAGCTTTTAACTCGTTTCGCAGCATTCTTGTCTAAAAATGGCTCGTTCCAAACTCGATCTAAGTCTGGATCAAACGATGATTTAAGGACAACTGAATCGTATACAGTATAATGGGGCTTGGTTTGAAACTCTGTAGTTTCCAGTGTAGAACCACCAAGGTCAATGATCTATAAAAAAAAAATACGCCGAGATGAGTTTTAAGGGTTAAAATCGTGTCCTCTTTGTTACTCTAGATATCACGATATTATTCAATACATAGTTTGGTTTTATAATTTCTAGAGTTATTAAATACACCAACTAAACATTCTAACAATGAGGACTTCTTTAAACAGTGGTTCTATATCAAATAATAATGTTACTATTACCAACGATTATGACAGAGAACTATGTTACATGCATATCATACTGGCCACAGAAACAAGCTATCTTCTAGCTACTTGTACACGATAGTTTGGTAAATAACGGGTGTATGTATGTACCAGATGATCTAACAAACCAAATCAACAACTACCATTCGACTACCAATCAACAAGAATCAAAATGATCATATCTAGTTTGGAAGAAGATCGAGTAACTCACACCGACCAAGATTTAAAAATTTCTCAAGTACCAAACCAACAACACAGAATCACCCAACTGATCCTGATCGATCCTCATCCTACCTAGTCGACGATATCAGTTAACTGATCTACCGACCATCCCAACAACCACCCTACCAGAGACAAATAAAGATATTCAAACCCAACTATGACTTGAATGTTATAAAATTATCTATAATATGTATTTTATGAATATGTAACGCCTTTGTACCGAAATTAAGTTGAAATTTAAAATGTCATTAGTGTAAGCGATAGGATGTAATAGATTAGGGTAGAGGTCAAAGGTCATAGGTCAATTGGTACGGAGAATTTATAATAAATGACCATATTAGTATCAATTAATAGAAACAGTTACAGATCTGAATTCTATTCTGTTCAATTGAGATTTTGCAAGGCCATTCAGTGTGCAATGAAGAATTCTTGTCACGTCAGCGATATTAGCCTACTCTCCTTGTATTCCTACCATTCAAGAGATGTTTGAAGTACACGACCTGTAGACGACGTGGCCTAGGTTTACGCCTTGAACTAGAAATATTACAAACATTTCCAGTAGGCCAAAACTATGGTAAGAGGGAAAAAGACCGGAAGTTATCAGTTTAAGAAGATTAAGATTAAGACTAATCCATCAAACTGGTCAATATGATAATCCGACCAGGTATTTCCTACCGGGCCAATATCAATCAGTTTATAACCTACAGGTAAATACAGGTGGTTTTATAAATCACCGTCAGGAAATACCTGATTGATATTTCAGGGGTCTGAAGAATTTACGAATAGCTCACCTGGAAAATACCTGATTGAAATATAAACCACGAGGATCTCTTCAGATAGTTGGTAATTTACGAGTCTCCTATTTGGTACTTTGTGATTGATGACTATAATAAATATAATGTTTTATTATTATTACTATAATAACTTCAACCAATCAGAATTCTGTTCTAAGTAACGTATGTACATGATTATTTAAAAGATGCGATGTTTCACTGACTACAAGTTCCATCTAGTAATCAGTTGAACGTCATTTATATCAATATAAAGCACTGACTTCTCTTTCCATAGCCATTCTTTATAACGGGACGTTCTAAATAAGCTTTCCTGGTAAGGATTTTATGTCCAAAACTCGTGCCTAGTGTAGGAGATCATCGTCGGCAATTTCATTATTATTACTTCCAGAAAGTGGAGAGATTCTTTTCCAGATCGTTTCGAGCAAAAAAAGTACCCTCTCCCTCTCATGTAAGCATTTTGTAATTCTTGAGACACTAACGATCTGACAATAAGGCTGTTCAATATTATAGAAATATTTATTATACCTGTAGGTGTCAGGTGTTCTCTGCAGGGAGTCCACAAGTCTACCTGAAATCACCTTCAGATGTCCGTGTAAATTTTACCTGTGTCAACACCCAATCTAATCCAGGTGGCCCCTAAAACCAACCCCTTTATCATAGTCACCTTGTTTATAAATTCTGTCGTGCCGTTGTTAGAATTTTCACCTGTTTTTACCTGAGATAATCTCTTTGATGTTTTGATTCAATCGGATCAATTGGTCAGTATAAACATTGTTTTAAATCTCACCTGGTTGGATTATCTCGATGACCCAAATACAGGTAAATATTGATATATAGTGGACATTGGGCACAGGTTGTTTATAAAAAATAGAAATATTCTGGATTTAAAACTCCATTTTATTTCATTAGCCCTAAATATGGGAACATTGTAAGATATTTTATTTCATACAGCATGTAGGTAGAATAAATCAGGCAATATTGCAAGAGGGAAACACTCTTGTTAAAGGGATTGTAAAAAGGTTTTATTTATTTTCATGTGTATCGGGGACACTAGTTTTAGGGGACCGCAGACGTCTGATTGAAAATTGGAATGATACAAATAAAACTTTAGGGAAACCTGTTTACAATCTCTTTAAGGTATCTTGGCGAGTTCTGTAAAGATGATATTTAGGTGCAGAACAACTTGGTAAATCTCATTACGAGATAATATATAAATAAGAGTATAAGAGAAAGATATAAATATAAGTATAAGAAAGAGATATCTCGATCGGGGGTTGTTTTCCTGTGGGTCAACTAGGGTCAGTTTTAAAACACAAACAAACTATCTATATTTATTCATTATTTTATAATAGTTTAATATGGTGTTTTACATTTCTATTTCTTAAAGATACTTCTATATATACGGTTTTCATGGTATAATATAAAAACAATGGACACTACTAAGGGAGTTGCTAGCAGGGCAGTGTAAGCTCTCCCCCGTGCTTCAAGTAATGCCGATTTGCAAATGGGTTTGTTCAGAGAATCCATTTAGATGATAATGTGGTATATTCAATATGGCAGAGGTTTTCAGCTTTGTATCTTAGTAGTGGGCACTTATTACTTTTGTACATTTTGATTCCCAGTACTAATTGTAGGCGAACTGTATGTCTGGTTTTCTTTCTGAAATGTGTTGCACATAGCTTACTGTAAGCTCTATCAACTGGTTAAACAATCGTTTAAACTATTGTATCAAATCTCTTTAAAAAACATTTTAAAATAACTTGCAAATATTTGAAATTATCGGATTGTGTAGAACAAGTGCTCGATGTGAGCCCAGGATATTATAGTTGATTGACAGATTGACAGAGTAAAATATTTGTTTTAATAAATGTTATTACTAAAATTATTATCTCCTAGTCGCCTTCATTCAAAAATCTCGACTAAAATTTCTCAAAAAATAAAGTAAAAGTATTTTCTGTCTGTCTAGTAAACTTTAGATTAATTTTAAAAACTTCTCAATGTTTAATACACTTACTTACAGTTTTAAATTATATATTAAAATCATATAACATTTTACTTCCTACTTTTCTGTCCTTAACTTAGAAGACTTGTGAGGGCAGTTTACTCCCTACAGTACGCAATGAGGGTAATTTTGCCAGAATAACGACATAAGCGTACTGTTTTAGATTTGTTTATTGCTGATGTATCTTTAACGTAATAAATATATAAATAAATATTTAAAATAAATAAATAAATAAATA